TCTGACTGACCTTTACCATGTCCGGTTTTTACTATTAGCTGTTACAGCTCAGCCAAGCCTGGTCCACACCCAGAGACAGTTCACACATGGCTCAGCAGGGACAGAGACCTAGCCCAGCCAGCCCGTTGTACACCTAGCCTGGTTCTTACGAGTACCAGTGAGTGCTAGAGTTTAGCCCAGTCTGGCGCATCCCAAATCCAGTCCACACTTGTGCCGAGTGACACTGCAGCCATGTCCTGACCAGATAGCAGCTCTGATTCCAGCCCTCACACTCACCAGTGGAAACCACGGCCCAACCAGGGCGTCGTCGACCTGTTCCCAGCCATAGATCTTACGTGTGCCAGTGGTTGCTGTGATCCAGCTTGGCATAGTCCCTCCTCTGTCTTGGCCTTTGCCTTTGGATGCTGGAACCTGGCCTGATCCAGCCTGCCCCCAATCCCAGTTCTGGCTGGCAGGTGTTGGATCCTGGCCCTGTTCAGTCTGCTCTCATCTCTGACTCAGGCAAACTAGTAGGTGTGACAGCCTAGCCTGGCATGACCTGTGCTCCAGCCTAGTTTTTGCACTTGCTGGTAAGCTAAGGTTTGCTCAGCCCTGCCAGGTCCACCCCCTTCCAAAACCAACCCACACATTTGCCAACAGTTGGAGCTACTTTGCCCAGGTAGCTACAGGCCTAGACCACATACTCAACAGCAATAGCTATGACCCACTAGGGAAGTTTCCCACGTTCCCTCACTCAGCCCACTCCCAGACTCAGATCCTTCGCATGCCAGTGGGGGCTAGACCCTTTCCCAGCATAGTCTGCCCCAGCCCAAGCCAAGCTGGCTCCTGCTGCCTTTAAGCAGCCAGGCTGGGCTGTGTCCCTTCCACCACCTGCTAGAAGTGGCCGGTGGAGTTGAGGGTCCCATTTGCGCACCCAGCCCCAAGATTAAGGATCTTTATGTTTTACATCATGCTAGGGGGGAAAAAACTCAGGAAATCAGTATCAAATCAACTATGTTAACTTTAATTAATATGTGATAGATTGACCTCATGAACAGTAGTCTCTAAAATTATGAATCCAGCAAGCAGGGTAATTAATGTATTTACAACATAGTGAAGGACATTAGCTGTCTGCTTTGGGCGTGCTAAAATGGATGCTGAAGCCAGAATTTCTCCCCCAAGTGAACATGTGCCAGACCGTGTCCTGATTATCATCTCTGTCCTGGGTGCAGTTCAGAGCCTCTAGACTGTTAAACCTGTCGCCTTTGGTCTCTTTCTGCTTTGTTTCTATTCCACATTTGTATTTTCACCACTTTCTGGCTGATCTCTTAGTTTTTGTTTTGTTTTTTTGTTTGATTGATTGATTGATTTTGGTTTAAGATTATTTTATTTGAAAAGCAGAGTTACAAAGAGAGAAAAGTCTTCCATCCATTGGTTCACTTCCCAGATGGCTACCATGACCAGAGCTGGGCCTATCCAGGAGATTCTCCCAGGTCTCCCACCTGGGTGGCAGGGATGCACACACTTGGGCCATCCTCAGCTGCTTTTCACATTAGCAGGGAGCTGAGACAGAAGTGAAGCAGCATCCAAATGGAGTCAGCACTGCAGATGGCAGTTTCATCTATACCGTGGCACATACCCCAGTTTCTAGTTTTTAACTCTAGATTCTAGTCTTTTCCTCTTGCTTCTTTAGCACTTGACTCCAAAGTTACTTTTATCTTCCCTTTTCATCAGGTTCTGACATGAATTGGGGAAGTCATTGGTATTTTCTCCTTATTATCCTGAGGCATGAATGTTTCTTTTTTAATTTTTTGGTAAAAGCCATCACTTCGTCATGACTGAAACCCAGGTCAGGATGGGCCCAAGTTCAAGCTGGTTTCTTCCACTGTTGTCACCCTGTTCCATCTCCTCGGGTACTCCGGCTCTTGCCTGGGCCAAAAGAATGGCATTTGCCAGCAGGAAGCTCTTGGAAACACCAGCGCCTCTCCTTGTGGAGTGAGGCCTTGGCAACTCTGGTGCTAGTGCCCCTGGGAAGGCAGTGGAAGATAGTCCAAGAACTCACCCCCGTTCGGGAGACCCAGATGGCTTTCCAGGCGCCCAGCGTCAGCCTGCGCCGATCCTGGCTGTTGTGGCCGTTCAAGGAGTGAACCAGTGGATGGAAGATTTTTCTGTATTCATGTCTCTCTCTCTCTGTTCATTGCTTTGCCTTTCTAATCATCTTTTTAATCTTTAAAACAGAAAAAGTAAACAAAGTGCTTGGTTTTAGTAGAATGACGTTGTATTTTGTCATTATGACCAGTTATTTCTTAATCATTATGTAAGTTTGTGTCATTTAATTTCTACCTCTAATTTTCTTTTTATGAAGATTTATTTATTTATTTTGAAAGAGTTGTTTAAAAATTGGGAGAGAACTGTCATCCACTGGTTCACTCCACAGCTGACCACAAAGGCCAGTGGGAGGCCAGGCTGAAGCCAGGAGCCAGGAGCTTCTTCTGGATCCCCAACATGGCTGGCTGGGTGCCCAGGCTCTTGGGCTATCAGCTGCCACGTTCCCAGGCCATTAACAGGGAGTTAGGTTGGACTTGGAGCAGCTAGGACACAAAACAGCTCCCTGTGTGATGCTGCTATCACAGACACTGTCACCGTAATATCTACCCCTATTTTATTTATCTATTTGTTTATATTACAATTTACTTAAAAATCAAAGCTACAGAGAGGGAGAGACAGAGAGAGAGATTCTATCCACTGCTCCACTCTCCGGATGGCCACAACAGCCAGGCTGGGCCCAGGTAGAAGCCAGGAGCCCAGAACTCTATCCTGTTCTCCCACTTGGATGGCAGCAACCCAAGGACTTGGAAATTTCTCTGCTTCCTTCCCAATGCAGCAGCGATAAGCTGGCTCAAAAGCAGGAGTATCCAGGGCGCAAACTGGCATGCCAGTGCAGGAAGCTGGCAGCTCAGCTGGTGAGCTAGGCCACAGCACCAGAAACATTACCCCAGCTCCTTCCCCACCAAACTTTTCCTTTGCTATTACCCGTTCAAATCACCAAATGCAGATTAGTGTCATGGTTTATTTCTCTTTGTTGCAGTCAGTATTTAAGAAAATGAGTTCATAATTATATCTTAGATTTTTGCCTCAGTTTAGATGTTGAATTCTCCATTGTTAGGCCTTGGTTTCAGTAGACCGTGTTTGCTGCTTCACATCCACCCAGCCCTGTTATTTAGAGGTAGCTGTGAGGGAGACACCAGCACCCTTCTGACAGCATCAAACAGGCACTGCTGTGGTCCAGTCGTGCTGGCAAGCATCGAGGACAAACCAAGAGGCAAAGTAGGTTTCTTCAGACAGGCTTTGTTCTCCCCTTGCTCATTTAAGACCCAAACTCTTTAAAAAAGAAAGAAAGAAAGAAAAAGGAGCTCCCTGGCACTCTAATACTCTTGGCCTGAGAGAGATTTTCTGAAGCTCCATGCATCTGATTATGCAGGTGATCTGGGGAGTTCTGTGTCGGTACCACAGTATTGAATAATGGTCCGGCAGCAGCTTGTAATTAATATCTGTCAGATTTACGGCCTAGGAGGGGGTGGAAGGAACAGCCTTGTTAATCCATCCAGACAGTGTATAAAATAAATTTTTATGCCTTTGTGGAAGCTTCAGAGAACAATTTACTGTATTTCTATGTGTGGGTTTCATAGAAGCATCTTTCTTCATCCTTGGCTTTTCTCTGGGAATATTTGTCACAGATCATTCTTTTAATTGTATTTACTGTTGTACATAGGCTATATTTTAGCCTTTGCTTGGTATTTGAGAGAAGCTAGGGGAGCATTGCTTTGCTTTTTTTATTAAACCTCTTAATATAGTCTGATAGACTCAGAAAACTAAAAAGCTTTAGGAGACAGAAAGACCCACTAGGCTGACAACAACAACAACAACAACAACAAAATGGAAATCAGAAACTCTGGAACCTAAACCTTAGCCTAGCCTTCTTGTGTGTAAAATGAATCTTTTGTTTAATTAAAACTTAACCAACATCGTCAGGGTAGATTGTATGTTCCTCGGGTTTCTGGCACATTTTTGTTCTTATATGTGTTTAAGCTTAAAATAACAAAGCTAGGAAGCAAGAATTTTAGGACTAAAAGGAATCTGAAAGATCATTATGGGATCTTCGAATGCAGGAATCCCAGGGTCAGTGTTGTGGCATGGTAGTGTAGCCATCACCTATGATGCCAGCATCCCATATAGACCCCAGTTTGTGTCTTGGCTGCTCTGCCTGCTGTCCAGTTCCCTGCTGCTACCCTGAGAAAGCCATGAGGAATCACACAAGTGCTGGGGCCCCTGCCACCCTTGTGGGAGACCCAAACGAAGCTCTTGGCCTCTGCCTAATGCAGCACTGGCCATTGGAGCCATCTGAGGAGTGAACCAGCGGATGGGACATCTCTCTCTTTCTCTCTCTTCTTTTCCCTCCTTATTGTAACTCTTTCAAAATAATAAGCAAATATTTTATTAAAAAAAAAAAGTGCAGGAATCCCTTTTATGGACAATAGCTTTCTCTGCTAAGCACGTAAAAGACCAGAAGTTGAAAAGTTAATCACTGTTTCTGATATAGACCTCTCACCTCAGAGGGCGCTGGGGAAGTGTGATAGTAACATGTTAGCCAAGTCCCTACAAAGCAAAGTCCTGCCTAGTGTCTTCTCTGGCAGTTTCAGTCCCTGATAACTTTACCATTAGGACTCATCAAGTCTTGGAATACCTCTGGTGTTTTTTATTTCTGTTTGCTCGAATCCAGTAAGGAAACCAAGACTTGCACTGGCTTAAGGGATTTGACTTGCCCGGCGTCAAAACAAATAAATATTAGAATCTAACTGTGTCTAACTGTCCTCCTTATGGAATCCCAGGCTTTTCCCCTGCTTTGTTTTTCCCTGTGCTTTGAAAGCAGAGTGCCAGTGGAAGCTGACCCCAGGCCGTCAGGCAGGAGCCCCCGTGGCGTCCGCTCATTCATGTGCTCTGTTGCTGCTTTCCTCCTGCAGGCCTACTGTGGATTTCTGCGTCCTGGCGTCGCTTCCGAGAATCTTGCTGCAGTGGCCACGGGAAACTGGGGCTGTGGTGCCTTTGGGGGTGATGCTCGATTGAAAGGTGCGTAAACCCAAGAAGGATGAGCGCACTCGGACCAGGGGAAAATCAGTCCGTCCTTCAGACCGGGTTTCCAGGGTTCTGTCTTGGTACGAGACCACCAAGCAAATGGAAAAAAAAAAGAAAACACCATTTGCCACTCTTCTTTTTTTCAAACTGTGGTGAAAGGAGTACTTAGTTTCACTTGACTATCTCCTCTAAGGTTGCTTGTCTATTTGAGCTATCAGACACACTGGTTGGTTGAATATAAAGAGATCTGCAGAGGGAAGTGACCAAGTTGACTGAAGTTTCAAACTAAAAACATCCACTCACTCACCTTTCACTGCTGGAGTGATTTTTGCACACAGGTCAATGTGTCTCATTCAGTCACCTACCAAACACTGAACAATGTTCTAAACAGTGTGGTATGTTCTGAATGCAAACATTAAAAACAAAATGTGCCCCCTGCTTTGGACTTTGTGGAACAGCCTATGGATAAGCGTCGCAGTTGCAGCATGGCACCATAGTAGCAAGTGCTGTCACAGGGGTACCCGGCACCATGGGACTTTAGCTTGGGGTGGCGGTGTCAGTGGCCCAGATTTGGGTCCCCAGGAAGGATAAATATTTCTTGTATTTTATTGCTTGTGGTAGAAAAATCACAAAACCCAGTCAACGAGCTATTGGCTTTTATCAGACTGTAACTTTTGTGTTTTTGTTTTGCTTTGTTACTTTCAGAAGCATATATTACTGAAAGTAATATTGTACTGTTGTCATCAGGATGATTTCTGCTGCATTTCCTGAAAGCAGGCCCCACACCACGCAGTGTGCTCAGTCACTAGCTCTCTGGAGGTGGCTCAGAGCCCTCTCAGTAGGGACAGTTGCTGTCCCCACTTCTGACCAGCTGGCTACCATCCAGGAAATTGCCAGAACTCCCCTAAGGCTTGATAATTCCCTAGAGTGACCCAGAGCACTCAGAAGTAACTCCTTCCCCTTGTCATTTTATTATACACGATACTGTCTGGGTGAGACCTGCAGAGACATGCAAAGCTTTAGTGCCCTCCCCAGTCAGGGCACCTCCCTCACCTGACACGTCCTTGTGGCCACCAGGAAGCCGTGCTGATCATTGGGGTTCAGAAATTTTGTCGGGGCCTCATTAGGTCATTGGCCGTGGAATTGGACTAGCTTCGCTCCTCCTCCTCACTGGAGCTTGGAGGCCTGGCCCTCGGAATGACCTTGTGGGATAGCAAAATAGCAAAGGGCTTTTGAAGGTCTGGCTAGAAACCCAGGACAGACGCTACACAGACTCTGTTAGCTGTATCCCAGTTCTCAAGGTAACGATAAAAGCCAACACAAAGCAGTCAGCTGGCCCTGCTAGACCAAACTAGATCTAAACTCCATCTCTTTGGGAATAGAACAATCACGACGGTCATCATTGTAACCACTCTGCCAATAATAACATGCTTTTTGTTGTTATTTCTATTAAAATGACATTTTTTTAAGTTCAGAAAAATGCCATGAATTATAGTATTAGCAGAATTAATTCACCACGAACCTTTTGGGAGCTGTCCTTTCACACAGCTCTGTGTAACAAAATGTTTGATATTCAAGAGCTCATATGCATTTTCCAACTTCCTTTTAAAAAGCCTGTAATCTCATGGATACTTTTCAACACCAGGAAATCTACTATTAGCATATTAAGTAATACATTTTATAATAGAGAAAGCGAGCAAGTCCCCATCTGGCTGACTCGCTCCCCAAATGGACGCAGTGACTGAGTCCGGGCTAGAGCAGGAACCAGGAACTCAGCCTTGCTCTTCCGTGTGGGTGACAAGGCCCCGACACTTGAGCCAGGAGGAGGGACTCAATCCCAGGTACTCTAACAAGGGATGCAGGCAAGTGCCAGTGCCTTCCCAGAGGTAGACCTGAGGTTCAACAGTCTTCATGTGCTTACTGATGTTTTTGGTTTACTTTGTGAATTGCTTTTCCATGCCCTCGACCCATTTATCTCTTTGGGATTTACGTTTTTCTTAGTTATTATTATAACTGTATATTAAGAAACATTAACAACTGTCATGCATTATAGCCATTTTTCTCAGTTCTTTTCATTTATTTCAACCTATTGGGCTTTTGATGCTCTGAGTTGATGTGTTCAAATATTTGGGCTGTACTTAGAAAAATCATCTCTGTTCTCCCATTCCAGACACCTTCAGCCACATTTTTTTCCCATGTTTTTAAAGCTTACAAAGACAGAATTTCCGTTTTTACTTTGTGAAATTCTTCCTCATTCTGAATTTGCTTGAGGAAAGCTATTTCTCCTTCTGGGCTTATTGATCTTATGACAGACATTTTGTTGCTGTTGTTTTTCTCTGAAGTAAAATGAATGCCCAGACTCATGTCATCAGTCGAGAGCCCAGGTCTGCCATGAACCGCGGCCATTGCGCTGGACAGTCCAGGGGGCTTTGGAAATGTGTTCATTTCTTTGCCTTTCTCTCGGACTGTGGCTGGCTGTGCTGCAGTGACCAGCAAGTACAGAATCCGGAGATCTCCATTGTGTGGTTCATTTTCTGTTACTGAGAGTTCAGCTGTGGAATAACCGTGTTAACTCCTCCTTAATTTACTTGAATAATCATTAGGAAATTAGAAGGAATCACAATGTCTTTCTAGGGTGATTGTTTACTGAAACCAGTGTTTGAAAAGCGTTAGTTCATCTGCCCACTGAAATATTATGCAGCCACAATCTAAGAGCAATGATGGCAATTCATCTGCTGACGTGGAAAGACATTTTTGGTGTATTGTCAAATCAAAGGAAAATACAGATATGCCATGTGAGTTGTAAGAGTTAAATTACAGGGCTGGCATTATGGCACCAACAAGTTGCTGCCTGCAACACTGGCATCCCATGTCAGAGTGCTGATTTGAGTCCTAGCTGCTGCAGTTTGAAGCCAGCTACCCGTTAAGGTCCCTGGGAAAGCAGTGGATGATCGCTCACCTATGTGAGCCTGTGACACCCATGTGGGGCACAAGGATGGAATTCCTGGATTCTGATTGCAGCCATTTGGGGGTGAAACAATAAATGGAAGGGTTTTTTTTTTAAAGATTTATTTATTTTCATTGCAAAGTCAGATATACAGAGAGGAGGGGAGACAGAGAAAGATCTTCCGTCTGATAGTTCACTCCCCAAGTGACCGCAACAGCCAAAGCTGAGCGGATCTGAAGCCAGGAGCCACTTCCAGGTCTCCCACGCAGGTATAGAGTCCCAAGGCTTTGGGCTGTCCTCGACTGCTTTCCTAGGGATCAAGCAGGGTGCTGGATGGGAAGCAGGTCTGCCAGAATTAGAACCAGCACTCATATGGGATTCCAGCACATGCAAGGCGAGGATTTTAGCCACTAAGCTACCACGCTAGGCCCCAAAATGAAAGATCTTTCTCTTTTTCTCTCTCTCAGACATACACACTGCCTTTCAAATAAATAAGTATATTTTTTAAACTATTTTTAAAGATATGTTTATAAAGGCAGATTTACAGAGAGGAGATAGAAAGATCTTACATCTGCTGGTTCATTCTCCAAGTGTTCACAGTAGCTGGAGCTAAGCCAATCCGAAGCCAGGAGCTTCGAGCCTCCTCCGGGTCTCCCACATGGGTGCAGGGTCCCAAGGATTTGGGCCGTCTTCTACTGCTTTCCCAGGCCACAAGCTGGGAGTTGGATGGGAAGTGGAACAGCCAGGACACAAACCAGCGTCCATATAGAATGTTGGTGCTACAAGGTAGAGGATTAGCCAGTTAAACTATCATGCCAGCTCTGATATATAAATACCTTGTTTTAAATAAAAGGTAAATTGCATTTATGAAGTGTTAAACAAATAAATTTGAGGTTTTCTGTTTCTGTGTAGATAATGGTTGTCGCTAAGTGGGTGATATTCACCTTGTTTACTTTCTTTTTAACCTGTGTTTTTCTATGATGTGCATATATTGATTTTGTAACAAGATTTTTTGGAGGGTTTTTTTTTAAAGATTTATTTTTATTGGAAAATGAGCTCCACAAAGAGAAGGAGAGACAGAGAGAAAGATATTCCATCCGCTGGTTCATTCCACAAGTGGCTACAACAGTCAGAGCTGAGCCAATCTGAAGCCAGGAGCCAGGAAGCCCCTCCCCATGCCCCCGCCACCTGGGTCTCCCAAATGGGTGTAGGGTCCCAAGGCTTTGTGCTGTCTTCTACCGCCCTACCAGGCCACAAGCAGGGAGCCAGATGGGAAATAGAGTTGTCAGGACATGAACTGGCGCCCACACGGGATCCGGGCACATGCAAGGCAAGGACTTTAGCCACTAAGCTACTGTGCCTGGCCCATTGTGACAATTTTTTAAAAAAGGTTCAGACAAGGGAAACATGCGTATTTGAGAGTCCCTACACTTGCATTTCCTCTTACCAGAAATAGAGTTAAGTATTCTTTAATGTGCTTCTTGCCTAATTATTCCAGAGTTTTGCAGTTTATACTGATTTAATTTTGAAGAAATTTATATGTGCATTGCTAAGGCAGCTAATAAGTATTTTTCATGTATTAATTTATTCTTCAGACACTTATTAACAGCTTTTAGCCCTAGGTACCCAATGACCAAGGGTACAGACGGAATCAGGGAAGAAAGGACTGTGGGAAGCCAGAGGGGCTTTTGGCCTAGTCCCTTTTTCTGAGCTCCCCAGTAGGATCTCACGGGAAATTGCTTCCAAAAAAAATTATTTTTTAAAAGGCATAGTTACAGAGATGTATTCTGTCCGCTGGTTAACTCCTTTGACGGCAGCACCAGCCAGTGCTGGGCCCAGCCAAAGCCAGCAACTGGGAACTGCATCCAGTCTCCCTCATGGGTGGCAGGGACCCAAAGTGGACCATCTTCCACTGCCCTCCCAGAAACACTGCTCGTAGTAGGGAGCTGGACCAGAAATGGATCAGGCAGGACTTGAACTGGCCCCCATATGGGATGCCACAGATGCAAACAGCAGCTTAACATGCTCCTCCACAGTGCTGGCCCTT